TTGGCCTCTTTTTTGTTTCCATATGAAGTTTAGGATTGTTTTTTCCATTTCTGTGAAAAATGACATTGGTATTTTGATAGGGATTGCATTGAATCTGTAGATTTCTTTGGGTAATATGGTCTTTTCAACCATCTTAATTCTTCTAACATGACCAGGGGATGTCTTTCCATTTTATTTTGTCCTCTTCAGTTTTTTTCATCAGTATTTTACAGTTTTCCTTATAGTGTTCTTTCACCTCCTTGGTTAAATTTATTTCTAGGTATTTTATTTTTCATGTAGCTATTATAAATTGGCTTCCCTTTTTGATTTCTTTCTCAGCTAGTTCATTATTGCTGTATAGAATCACTACTGATTTTGTATGTTGATTTTGTATCCTGATTTTATCAGTTCTAAGTGTTTTTTGATGGATTCTTTAGGTTTCTCTAAATATAACTACATGTCATCAGCAAAGAGGGATAATTTGACTTCCTCTTTTCCAGTTTGGTTGTCTTTTCTTTCTTTCTCTTGCCTTGATTGCTCTGGTTAGGACTTCCAGTATTACTTTAAATAGGAGTGGTGAAAGTGGGCATCCTTGTCTTGTTCCACTTCTTAGTGGAAAGGTTTTCAGCTTTTCCCATTCTCTATGATGTTAGCCGTGGGTTTGTCATATATGGTCTTTATTATGTTGACATATGCCTAGTTTGTTGAGACTTTTTATCATGAACAACTATTAAATTTTATCAATTGCCTTTTTTGTGTCTATTGAAATGATCATATGGTTTTTGTCCTTGATTCTGTTGATGTAATGTGTCAAATTTATTGTGTGCATATGTTGAACCATTCTTATATCCCTGGGATAAATCCCACTTTATCATGGTGTATTATCTTTTTGATGTGCTGTTGGATTTCGTTAGGTAGCATTTTGTTGAGGATTTTTGTGTCTATGTTCATCAGGGATATTGGCCTGTAGTTTTCTCATTTGTTGTGTGCTTGTCTGTGATACCAAGGTAATGCCTTATTGAATGAATTAGGGAGAATTCATTCCTCTTTGATTTTTTGGAATAATTTCAGGGGGTTTGGTATTCTTTTTTGTATGTTTGGTAGAATTCAGCTGTGAATCCTGTCCTGGGCTTTTCTTTGTCAGGAGGCTTTTTATTGCTGATTAAATTCCAGTACTCGTTATTAGTCTGTTCAGATTTTCTATTTCTTTTTGATTCAATCTAGGTAGGTTGTATGTGTCCAGTAATTTATCTGTTCCTCTAAGCTTTCCAGTTTGTTAATGTGTAGTTTTCTATAATAGTCTCTGATGATCTTTTTTATGTCTGTGGTATTAGTTGTTATGACTCCTTTTTCATTTCTGATTTTATTTATTTCGTTTTTCTCTTTCTTCTCTTTTCTTGGGTAGGCTAGCTAGCTGTCTTTTCAAAAACCAACTTTTCATTTTCTAGATCCTTTGTGTTTTTTTTAGTCTCTGTTTTGTTTACTTGTGCTATGATATTTATTATTTCTTTCCTTCTACTAATTTTGGGTTTGGTTCTCGCATTTTTAGTTCCTTAAGGTGTATTATTAGATTGTTTATTTGAAATCTTTCTACTGTTTTGATGTGGGCATTTATTGGTATAAACTTCCCTCTAAACCCTTTGGTATCCCAAAGGTTTTGGTATGTTGTTTTTATTTTCATTTGTTTCAAGAATTTTTTTTTATTTCTTCCAAGATGTCATTCAGGAACATCTTGTCTAATTTCTCTGTATTTGTACAGTTTCCAAAGTTCCTGTTATGGATTTCTAATTTTTTTCCATTGTTGTCTCAGAAAGTATTATACTCGATATGATTTTCAATTTTTAAAAATTTTTGAGACTCGTTTTGTGTCCTAACATATGGTCTGTCCTAGAAAATGTTCTGTGTGTTGATGAGAAGAATGTGTTTCTGTAGCTATTGTATGAAATGTTCTGTAAATGTCTATTAGGTCCATTTGGTCTGAAGTACAGGTTAAATCCAATGTTTCTTTGTTAATTTTCTATCTGGATCATCTGCCTAATGCTGATAGTGGGGTGTTGAATTCCCCAAGTATTATTGTATTGGATCTTGTCTCTTCCTTTAGGTCTAGTAATATTTGCTTTATATATCTGGGTGCTCCAGTATTGGGTGCATAAATGTTTAGAATTGTTATATCCTCTTGCTCAATTGATCATTTTTTCATTATATAATGACCTCCTTTGTCTCTTTTTAATGTTTCTGACTTAAAGTCTATTTTATCTGATACAAGTATAGCTAGTCTTGCTTGCTTTCGGTTTCCATTTGCATGGAATATCTTTTTCCATCCCTTTACTTTTAGTCTATAAGTGTTTTTATAGGTGAGGTGAGTTTCTTGTAGGCAACATATAGATGGGTCATTTTTTTTATCCATTCAGCCATCAGCCAGTCTATATCTTTTAAGTGGAAAGTTGAATCCATTTACATTCAAGGTTATTAGTGATGTGTGAGAACTTATGCCTGTCATTTCATTAATTGATTTCTCAGTGTTTTATGTATTCTTTTTTCCTTTCTTTCTCTCTTATTATTTAACATTGTGGTTTGGTGGGTTTTTTGTAGTGGTGACATTTGAGTCCTTTTTCTTCCTTGGTTGTATTTTTGCTCTGCCAGTGGGATTTATACTTTTGTGTGTTTTCATGGTGGTTGATATCATCCTTTCACTTCCAGGTGCAGGACTCCCTTAAGCATTTCTTGCAGGGCTTGTATAGTGGTGGTAAGTTCTCTCAACTTTTGCTTATCTGGGAAAGACTGTTTCTCCTTCATTTACAAAGCATTACTTTGCTGGATATAGTATCCTTGACTGCATTTTTTTTTTCTTTCAGCACTTTGAATATATCATCATCTCATTGTCTCCTGGCATTTAAGATTTCTGTTGAGAAATTCACTATTTGTCTGATAGAGATTCCCTTATAAGTGACTAGACGCTTTTACTGTTTTTGGAATTCTCTTTTTGTCTTTGACTTTTGATAGTTTGACTATAATATGCCATGGACAATACCTTTTTGAGTTGTATCTATTTGGAGATCTGAGCTTCCTGTCTCTGGATGTTTAAATCTCTTGCTAGATGTGGGAGGCATTCAGCTATTATTTTGTTAAATAGGTTTTCTGTCTCTTTAGTTTTTTCTTTGCCATTTGAGATGCTGAAAATGTGAATATTTGGTTGCTTTATGGTGTTCCATATGTCATATAGGCTTTGTTCATTTTTTATTATTCTTTTTTCTTTATTTTTGTCTGATGTAGTTATTTAAAAAGACGTGTCTTCCAGTTGTGAAGCTTCTTTCTTCTGCTTGATCTAGTCTATTGTTGAGGCTATCTGATTTATATTACTCTAGACATGTTTCATGCATATGTAAATCTGTACTCACATATTTAATAAATGCATTCATGCTATTCTGTAATCTGATATTTTTATTCAAAATATATTTTAGATAGCTTTCCATGACAGCACATTTGGATCGTTTTCATGGCTGTAGTGTATTCCATTGTATGAATGTACCGTGATCTAACTAACTTCTAATTTATGAATGTTTAAGTTATTCCCAATGTTTCGATGCCCCTGGTGTATGTGTATAATTATTTCTAATGAATAAATTCCTGAAAGAAGAAAAAAAAAAGACTTCAAGTTGTGAAATTCTTTCTTCTGCTTGATCAAGTCTGTTGTTGAGGCTTTCAAATGTGTTTTTTGTTTCATTCAATGAATTCTTTGCTTTCAGGTCCCTCAGTGGTACATGTGGACACTGGTTGTGGTGTGCAGGGGCAGGATGAAACTCAGGCTGCTGGAGGAATGCTTGGGTGATAGTGGCAGTGGCTGCATTGTGGCCCTGCTGCTGGGGAGGGTAGGGTTGCTTTCAGTGGGAACAGCCATAGGCAGGCCGCTGGGGAGTATGTGCTTTGGCTCCAGGTGGTGGCTGTGGGTGGGGGAGCCTATCCTCAGGGCACTTGTGAGTGTGTGCAGCCCCACTACTGGGACTAGCGGGGTCATTGCCAGCGGCTCACGCTTTGGCTTGAGGGGCAGCAGCCAGCAGTAGCAGTGGCTGCGGGCAGAGGGAGCCTGTGCTCAGGATGTGTTCATGTGCATGGCATCCTCTCTGCTGGTGGTAGTAGGGTCACTGCCAATGGCTTGCATTTTGTCCCTGGCGACAGCAGTCAGCAGCAGTGGTGGTTTGGGCAGTGGTGTCACTGGGGCTTCAGGGATGTGGAGATGCGAAGCCTGTTGGGCCTTGGAGCAGGACACAGTCTTGGGAGGGCTGGACTCTCAAAATGGTGCCGTGCTATAGCTAGATGCTTAGGACTTGGAGAATGTGTGGGACACAGCATGAGCTCTCTCATTAGCAATACCATCATGTGTTCCCCAGGTAGCTCCCTGTGCTAGTCTCAGTTCCCGCAAGGGTCAAGGGGCTCTCCTGTGGCTAGGAATACAGGAGTCTGTGGTGGGAATGTGGACCACTGGGGAGCTCTTTCTTTTTCCTCCACATTGGGGAGCCTCTCTATGCTCCCAGCCAATCCCAGCTGAACAGGCTACCTAGCTTCCTTCTCCTTTTTTGCTTTTGGTGTTTCTTGTCACTTCTCTGTTGAATTCCAGCATTCTCTTGTAGATGATCTATTTGAAGTACAGTTATCTACTTGCTGTTTTGGTGGTTCTTTGTGGAGGAGGCACGCATTAGATGCCTCAAGTCAGCCATCTTGAAGCTCCCTCCTTGAGATCTCTTCTGTTGTCTGTAACTGAGTTTAATGTTTGTTTGTTTTGTTAGTGTTACATATTTATATCATGCTTCCTCAGTGAGCTTGTTAACTGAAGTTTTATGATCCTTTTCCCCGGGAAGTTTATAATTGTGTTTTCTTGCACTGTGCTTTGTATGTAATAGTATACAATATTTATTCAGTTAATAGATTTGACAGAGTCATTGCTGTCAAGAAAAATTCTTTATATATGAAGGATACCTTATCAATATTATTTTAATTTGTAACTTTATTATGTTCTCTTACAGGCAAATGTTCTGAAAAAGACTCTGCATGGGAATGGCTTGCCTTACAGTGACAGAAATGGAAGGAACATCCACGTCTTCTGTACATCAAAATGGTGATATTTCTGGAAATGCCAATTCTGTGAAGGAAATAGATCCAGTCCTTCAGGTGTATCTTTACCATTCCCCTGGGAAAGCTGAGGGAGATTACCTGAAGTTTCCAACTGGGGAGTATGTTGCAGAAGAAATTTGTATTGCTGCTTCTAAAGCTTGTGGTAAGTGTTAAAAAACAGCATTTTTCTTCTTGTTCATGGATCACTGCTTTAATTATGCAACTATAATAATACATAAATGTATAATTATTATTTTTTGGATTTTTTTAATGCTTGTATGACTGGCAGGTATGTTTTTACATGCATTAAAAATGAAAACATCAGCTAGGCTTGGTGGCTTATGACTGTAATCCTAGTACTTTGGGAGGCCAAGTTAGTAGGATCATTTAGGCCAGGAGTTCGAGACCAGTCTGAGCAAGAGTGAGACCCCCATCTCTATAAAATACAGAAAAATTAGCCAGGAACAGTAGTGTATGCCTGTAGTCCCACCTACTTGGAAGGCTCAGGCAGGAGGATCACTTGAGCCCAGGAGTTCGAGGTTTGTAGTTAACTATGATGATGCAACTGCACTCTAGCCCGGGTGACAGAGCAAGACCCTGTCTCAGCACATACAGACACACAAAGAAGGCGTCACCAGAGTAGAATTTAAGGTGACTCTTCCTTGGATGAGGTATCGAAACAAATTGAAGCCTATAAATGTTTGCTGAGTACTCTTTATAAAACCATATAATGTGGCTAAAGAATCTGATCATGGGATATCTCATGATATAAGGTAATATCAAAGCAGCATAAAAGCAAAGTGTCAATGTGTCGAAATATGTATTAAAGTTCTTGTTTAAATATTTTATAGCTATGGTTGACAAATCATTATTTTCTTCTAGTTAGCTTCTGAAGACCTATATGAATCTTCGCTCATGTATACATTTTTCTTGTTTCTTTGGTGTATCTTGAAATCATTTTTATTCTTGAGACCTGATTATATTATCTCCCTGTAGTCTACTCAAAATTATGGGCCGTAGAACTCTTTCTGAGGAGCTGACACATTTTACTGGAATCACGAGGTTACTGTAGGACCTATTATCATAATATCTAATTTTTTAACGTTCTTTTAATAGATTAATTTTTGTTTTGTTTTGAAGAATAGTAGTGTGATTTTATTTGTAGCAGTAATTCAAATGTTTATCATAGTATTGATAAGAATATGCTATGTCATCAATTTATCCTGTCTTATTGAACATTGTAGATGAGGTTAGCTGATTAGTATAGGTCAGAATAGCCTTAAATGTAAGTTAGAGATGATTTTCATAAATCCAGTGTTGGGAGATAGGATATGAAAATATGGTAAAGCTCATTAATACTAATAGGAAGATGACTAGTTTAAATTAGTAAGCAGTATACATTTATTTAAATAAATATGCTTCTATTATTTTGAGAATAATTCTTAAATTAATAGCAAATGGTTCCCGTGAGTGAGTTTTATACTAAATCGAAATGACTAATTTGTAAGTAGCAAACCTATAACAGCAATTTTCTTAAGATTAGTTGATAAATAATTTAGGTTAAATTCTTTTGCAAGTTTTAGTTTTTATTAAGTTTATATCACTAAATCATTATATATTTTCTACAAGTGTCTCTTGTAGATTCTTATGAAATGTATATTTTGTTTTTTAAAAGTAATTTTTAGTTCGGTGAACCCAGGTACAGGTTTCTTAGAATATCTGCAATACCGTTGACTATCTTATATTTGTTTTTTTTCAGAGTCCCTATAGAAATTCTGCCTGTATAAAAGAGTACTGCACATACCCATAATTTCTTTCTATTGTAAATAAAGTTAAATTGCATTTGAAAATGCCTTGATAGAATATAGTTTTCAAGAAGCTACAAATCCTAAATGACATCTCTAAAACTATTATGATTTGAATTTCAAAGTAACTGTATTCCTGACTTAAAGTACAATCATACCTCAGTATCCGTGGGGAATTGGTTCTATTTAGGCTGGTGCAAAAGTAATTATGGTTTTGGACCATGAATTTTAAATCATTAAACTAGGCTCAAACACATACTTATTAATCAAAATGGAAACCATTACAATCAATACATTTTTGCCACCAAGAAATAAGTTTGTTTATTCCTGTAGCTTAAAAATCTGTACTTCGGGATTCAATGAACTCTTGGAAAGCATTTTCTGCCTCCTGCTGGTTGTGGAAGTGTTTTCCCTGTAAAAAGTTGTCAGGATGCTTGAAGAAGTGGTAATTGGTTGGCAAGAGGTGGGTTAGCATGAATATGGCGGATGAAGCAAAACTTCATAGCCCAATTTGTTCAACCCTTGAAGCGTTGGTTGTGCGACACATGATCGGGCACTGCTGTGGAGAATTGGGGCCTTTCTGGTAACTAATGCTGGCTGCAGGCATTGAGTTTTTAGTGTGTCTCATCTATTTGCTGAGCATACTTCTCAGATATAATGGTTTTGCCAGGATTCAGAGAACTGTGGTGGATCACCAAACAGTGACCATGACCTTTTTTTGGTGCGAGTTTAGCTTTGGGAAATGCTTTGGAGCTCCTTCTTGGTCCAACCACTGAGCTGGTGGTTGTATAAAATCCACTTTTTTTTTTTTTTTGAGACAGTCTGGCTCTGTTGCCCAGGCTAGAGTGCCGTGGCATCAGCCTAGCTCACAGCAACCTCAGACTCCTGGGCTCAAGCGATCCTCCTGCCTCAGCCTCCCGAGTAGCTGGGACTACAGGCATGCGCCACCATGCCCGGCTAATTTTTTCTATATATATATTTTTTTAGTTGTCCAGATCATTTCTTTTCTATTTTTTAGTAGAGACGGGGTCTTGCTCTTGCTCAGGCTGGTCTCGAACTCCTGACCTTAAGCGATCCACCCGCCTTGGCCTCCCAGAGTGCTAGGATTACAGGCGTGAGCCACTGTGCCGGCCCAAAATCCACTTTTTGTTGCATGTCACAATCTGATCAAGAAATGGTTTATTGTTCTTACGTACAAGAAAGGAAGACAACACTTCAAAACAATGATTTTTTTGATTTTCGTCAGCTCACGAGGCACCCACTTAAGGAAATTTTTTACCTTTCCCATTTGCTTCAAATGCCCAATGACCATAGAATGGTCAAGGTTGAGTTCTTTGGCAACTTCTCATGCAGTTGTAAGAGGATCAGCTTTGATGATTGTTCTCAGTTGGTCGTTGTCAACTTCCGGTGGCTGGCCACTGCGCTCCTCATCTTCAAGGCTCTTGTCTCCTTTGCAAAACTTCTTGAACCAGCACTGCACCGTACGTTCATTAGCAGTTCCTGGGCCATATGCGTTGTTGATGTTGTGAGTTGTCTCCGCTGCTTTATGACACCTTTTGAACTCGAATAAGAAAATCACTTGAATTTGCTTTTTGTCTAACATCAGTCTAAAATAAATATAAAATAAACAGCAAGTAATAAAGTCATTAGCAAAAAACCATAAAGTTGGAAATGTGCATTAAAATGGTGTATAACATAACCACATTTATTTAAGAATGTATTCCAATAACAAATGGCAAATTTAAACAATGGTAAAAGCGCAATTACTTTTGCGCCAAACTAATGTTAATAGCACCTCCAGTGGAAACCAAAATCCTAGGATATACAAATTCCTTATATAAAATGGCATAGTAATAGTTAGCTCTCTGTATCTGTGGGTTCCACATCCATGGATACAGAGGGCCAACTGTAGTTCAAAATTTTTTTTAAAACCTTCAAATTTTATATTTCATTTTAATATCAATTTTTAACTCAGCCCTTATTAAGACCTGATTGAATGCTCTACTAGCCTGTTCAGTAGCTTGATAATTTGTTACGTAACAAATGCTGGAAGTGAGCGACAAAGCATAGAGCACATGAAGTTTAGCCATCATCTTTTCACATGTTATCTGTAGCATTTTTAATTTGAGAGGGCAAGTGAAAACGGATAAGCTGTGAAACAAAATTTGCCATTGTAGTTGTTCTTTCTTTTCAGTAATGTTAGAGTTGTAGTTCCATTAAATAGTGAGTGGGAGGCTGGAAAAGTTGAAGCAATGTGAAAAGAAAAGAAATGAATAATTGGAGGTGTAAAGCTAGTTTACAGAGATTTTTCAGGCATTAAGCCTCCTTTTGTCTTTGTTGAGTCTTTTTTCTTTTTTTTCTTTCTCGTCTGAGAAAAAGTTAAGGGTCAGTTCAGTAGATTGCTCTGTACTTTTCTTGTAGTTTGTTTTAGGAAGAGCAAGTTGCTTCCCTTTTTCATTTTTGAGACCCCTCCAGCTACTAAGAGCTACTGATGATAGAGCTGTTAAAAATCATGGATATGAAGACTACATAATAACAGAAAAATGCTTTTAATGTTATATTTTTAAAAATTTAAAAATTTTAAGTACTCTATGGAAATAATGCATTAAACTAAACAAATTCCTGCTTTGTTTTGTTTTACAAACTGGAAGGAAATGTAGTATATCTAAACATTAGTAGTCCTGATGCCATTACCACACTGTGTAATTGTAGCTTGGTAGCAAGTTTTGAAATCAGAAAGTTGCTTTGTCTATATTGGCTATTCTCTGGTTCCATACAAACTGTAGAATTATTTTTTCTAGATCTGCGAAAAATGATGTTGGTATTTTAATAGGGATTACATTGAATCTGTAGATCATTTTGGGTAGTATAGACATTTTTAACCATGTTGATTCTATTTATCCATGAACATGGTATGATTTTCCATCTGTTTATGTCCTCTGCTATTTCCTTCCTCAGTGTTTCATAACTAAGGAGGTCTTTCACCTCCTTAGTTAAATGTATTCCTATGCATTTTATTGTCTTTGTTGCTATTGTGAAAGGTATTGAGTCTTTGATTTGGTTCTCAGTTTGACTGTTGACGTATATGAATGCTACTGATTTGTGTACATTGACTTTTTAACCTGAGACTTTGTTGAATTTACTTATCAATTCTAGTAGTCTCTTGGCAGAATCTTTGGGGTTTTTTAGATATAAAATTGTACCATCAGCAAAGAGCAATAATTTGACCTCTTCTGCCCTCATTTGGATGAGGAGGCATCAGTTTACTAGACTTCAAGCTATACTACAAGGCTATAGTAACCGAGATAGCTTGGTACTGGCACAAGGACAGAGACATAGACCAATAGAACAGGACTGAGAACCCAGATATAAAACCATCCTCATATAGCCATCTGATCTTTGGCAAAGCAGACAAAAACATACACTGGGAAAAAGAATCCCTATTCAATAAATGGTGCTGGGAAAATTGGTTAGCCACATGTAGAAGATTGAAATGGGATCTGCACCTTTCACCACTCACAAACATCAACTCACGATGGATAACAGACTTAAACTAAGGCATGAAACCATAAGAATTCTAGAGGAAAATGTTGGAAAAACTCATATAGACATTGGCCTAGGGAAAGAGTTTATGAAGAAGACCCCCAAAAACAATCACATATCAACAAAAATAAATAAATGGGACCTGATCAAATTAAAAAGCTTCTGCACAGCCAAGGAAACTGTCATTAGAGCAAATAGACAACCTACAGAGTGGGAAAAAATATTTGCATGCTATACATCCAATAAAGGGCTGATAACTAGAATCTATATAGAACTCAGGAAAATCAGCAAGAAAAAAACAACCCCATTAAAAAGTGAGCAAAGGACAGGAACAGAAGCTTTTCAAAAGAAGATAGATAATGGCCAACAAACATATAAAAAAATGCTCAACATCTCTAATCATCAGGGAAACACAAATCAAAACCACAATAAGATATCGTTTAACTCCAGTGAGAATAGCTTTTATCAAAAAGTCCCAAACAACAAATGTTGGTGTAGATGTAGAGAGATAGGAACGCTCATACGTTGCTGGTGGGACTGCAAACTAGTACAACCTCTATGGAAAGTAGTATGGAGATACCTCAAAGAGCTAAAAGTAGAACTAACATTTGATCCAGCAATCCCATTATTGGGCATTTACCCAAAGGAAAAAAGGACATTCTATAAAAAAGACATCTGCACTAGAAGGTTTATAGCAGCACAGTTCACAATTGCAAAGATGTGGAGACAACCTAAGTGCCCATCAATACATGAGTGGATTAATAAAATGTCGTACATGTATACCATAGAGTACTACTCAGCCACAAAAACAATGGTGAACTAACACCTCTTGTATTTTCCTGGATGGTGCTACAGCCCATTCTACTAAGTATCACAAGAATGGAAAAACAAGCACTACATGTATTCACCATCAAATTGGTACTAATTGATCAACACTTACGTGCACATATGGTAGGAACATTCACTGGGTATTGGGCAGGTGGGAGGGGGGAAGAGGGGAATAGGTGTCTTTATACCTAATGGGTGAGGTGCACACTGTCTGGGGGATGGGCACGCATATAGCTCTGACTCAGGCGGTGCAAAGGCAATATATGTAACCTAAACGTTTGTACCCCCGTAACATTCTGAAATTTAAAAAAATAATAAAGTACTTACCAGTGTACTCACCACTCAACTTTTCAAATGTATATTTTTGCCATTTTACTTCAGATGCTTCTCTAATGTATTATTGTGGTAAACTACGTTAATAGATTTTTCTAATGTAGCCATCTCTGCTATTTTAAGATAAATCAACTTTGTTGTAATTTTTTAAAAGAAATAGCTTGATTTAGTTTGCTAGTATTTAGTTTAGGATTTTTGCATCTATATTGGTAAACCAGAGTACCCTTTTATGATATCTTTGGTTTTGGTATCATGGTCAAACTAAACTCACAAAATATGTCAATTTCTCTGTTCGCTCTTTTCCTCTGCTCTATAATAATATCCTTAAGATAGAATTGTCTTTCATGTTTGGTTGAATTCACATATAAATCTCATCTGGGCCTGATGGCAGTTTTTCTTTTCTTCTTTCTTACTCCTTCTTTCTTTCTTCTCCATTTTTTTCAGTGGATAGAGTCTGTTTCTTTAATGGTTACAGTATTATTAAAAGTTTTTGTTCTTTAATCTTTTTAAAGTTATATTTATCCAAGAATTGTCCATCTGTCTCCATTTTCAAATTTATTGGCATAATATTGTTCTGGTACTTTTTGTCTTCATAACCTATCATTATGCTTTTTAAAAGTTCTTAGTGTTTATCTGTGCCTCTTTTTTTCTGTCAGACTTGACAAAGGCTTGTTAGACATTGCAAAAAATCATCTTTTGTCGATTCCCTTTATTGACTCTTTATCATGTCCTTTTTTCAACTTTCTTTGGGATTACTCTGTTGTTTTCTAATGTATTATGTTAGACACTTAGATCATTGTCTGTGATTTTCTAATATAAGCAGGTAGAGCTACAATTTTCCCTCGAGTCTCATTTTAGTTGTATTCCACAATTTTTAATACATGATATTGATAATCATTTATTATAAATGCTTTTTAATTTCCATTATAATTTTTTGTTTGACCTCTGAGATATCTGGAAGCATTTGTAAATAAAAGAATGAATGCAAGTATATTTACACCTAATGGGTACGGTGCGCACCGTCTGGGGTATGGACACGCTTCAAGCTCTGACTTGGGCATGACAAGGCAGTATGTGTAGCCTAAACATTTGTTCCCCCATAATATGCTGAAATTAAAAAAAGGTTGCTACTGAATAATGTTTTTATATATAATTTACTGAAATTATTACACATCTATACGTAGACATTTGTGTTAATAATTTAAATGCAGAATTTAAGTCTTTATTGTCAGTGTACTGTTTGTATCATTTCTGTCTGTGGTAGAAAAGAGTGAAAACATCACTAGAATGAAAATACTTTTATTTTTTGTGAGACTTATGTTTTTAGATATATAGGATTTAAAAATTTTTTTTACATATTCATTTCTGATTTAATTGATATGTGGTTAGAGAACATGGTATATAATTATTTTCTGGCATTTCTGTGGAGACTTGTTTTGAGTTCACATGATGGTTGTATATATTTGTGTGTGTGTATATGTGTTTTCATATATTCATATATATGAATGTTCTATATGTGCTTGAAAATGATATGTATTATTTAGTTGTGTGGCTTAGGTGTTCTATAGGTTTTTTGGTTCAGTGGCCTTCAACATTTTGTTAATATACCTCCTAAAATATCTTTTAAAAATCATAAACCCTTGCATATTTTTAGTTGACATTTCAAATTTTTCTTTGTAAATTTAAATAGTGCATAGGATGTAATTTTAGTTATTGTGTAAAACTTGACATTTTAAAATAAAACTGTTCCGTTGTTCCTTTAACGATAGCCAATCACATACATATTTTAGTGATTTAATACCTTCAGTATTAGTTAAAACACACCCACACGTGAATAATTACAATAATAACATCAAAGATCACTGATCTCAGATCACCATAACAGGTGTAATAATAATGAATAAGTTTGAAATATTTTGAGAATTTTAAAATGTGACTCAGAGACAGGAGGTAAGCATATGCCATTGGAAAAATGGTACCAAGAGATTTGCTCAATGCAGTGTTGCCACAAACGTTCAATTTGGAAAAAGCACAGTATCTGCGAAGCACAGTAAGATAAAGTTCAATAAAATGAATTATGCCTATATAAAAATATTTGATTAAGAATTCAGTTGCAAGTGATACTGTATCAAAACATTTCGAATACTACTGCATTTTGTGCTGACTTTAAGAGTTGTTTCTTCAGACCCATTACAAATTACGGATGTTGCATAAGTGGTTTTTTTTTTTTTTTAGCCTGTCTGTAATCATTTCTTTCTCTGCTTCTTTTCTAGGTATCACACCTGTGTATCATAATATGTTTGCTTTAATGTGTGAAACAGAAAGGATCTGGTATCCACCCAACCATGTCTTCCATATAGATGAGTCAACCAGGCATAATGTACTCTACAGAATAAGGTACTTTCTCCAGTAAAGTAACTTCCTTAACGGTAGGGCAAAGTGGGAGAAATTAGTAAATATTTTTAAATTGCTAAGTACTTAATACCAGAGACCCAAACCAACCACTTAGCACTTAGTTGTCTTTGAGACTCTGTGTCTCCACTGGAGAAATTGTTCATACATTGTTGTCTAATTAGAATTCTCTGAGAATAAAGCTCTTCTGGTGGGATCCCACTTTACTGCTTATGATTATAATTAAAGAAATAAAAAAAGGATGAGAATGGCCTTTACTAACAAAATCCTAAATATTCAGAATATTGCTGATTTCCCAGGAAATTTGACATTTTGTGCAATAAAATGCAATCTCACATCCCTTTTTTATAAATAACTTTTTTTTTTAAATTGAAGTGAGGGAAAGATAAGATTTTTGCCAGAGTTTATTTACAGCCTTGAACTGTGAGTTAATTTATTTAACAATTTATGGCAATGTAAATAGTAATACTTACTTAGAGAAATCCAGAAATATCTTTCTGTTCAAAAGGATGTAACAAATAAGTTTGATCTGTGTCTCATAAATACCTAGAATTTTCCAAGCATTTATATATATTACTTAATTTCCATTACAGCTTTATGGGGTGTTATTAGTTCCACCTTAAAGTTAAAGAATCCAGTGCTTTGAGATATTACTCAAATATATCCTAGCATTCCTGAATGCTAGGAAATGGCATTCAGGGTTCAAATCTGGACCTAGTTTGCTTCATAAGCTTGCCTCTCAGTCACCTCATGTGTATGTCATTAAAGAGATAATGTATATAGAGTATTTCATATTGTGTCTGTCACTTGGTGGGCTCTCAGTTCATTTTAGTATTGCTTTGCTCTTTTTTCTTCCCCTATTCTGCACAAAAATGTGCAGTTGAATGTGTTTGAGTTTTCTGATTTTAAGGTGTAGTTTGTACTGAGTTCAAAAAATCATTTTTTATGTAATTATTAAAAAGACAGAATTAGTAAGAGTTTGGAAGTGTCCAAATAAATAATAAATATACAGAAACCCATAGCATTCTTATATTAAAGCAGCTAATTATATGATAGATAAAGAAGATTCCATTCAAAATTGCTACAATGGCCAGGTGTGGTGGCTCAAACCTATAATCCTAGCACTTTGGGAGGCTGAGGTGGGAGGATTGGTTGAGGCCAGGAGTTTGAGATCAAAATAGCTAAAAAACCCTTCACTATCCAGGAATAATCTTAAAAGGAAAAACATGAGACAGTATAGGAAAATTAGAAACTTATTTGAAAAGTATGAAGAATGAGCACTGTTAGGAAAAACGAACTCAAATTATATTTTTCCTCTACTTTCGTACCACTGCCACAGCAATCAACATGGAAGACTTCTGTGGCCACATGTTGAGGGGAGTCTTTCCACTACCAAGCAAGCAATCCGTTCTGCAGCAGACAACAACCAGGTGTCCTCCAATTCAATTCTAATACTATCTACCTGGAGATAGCATCAGATCCTATAGGTTGAGGGCTCAGTCTCTAAGACTGTCCCCACCCCTACCCCCTGACCCCCCAGCTTAGACAACAGTCTCAAGTCTGGGTTTCTAGAACTCTGACTGACTGACTTCAGGTTGGGGTTCCACCGACCCCCTCTTTGGATTGAATTAATGTACTAGAGCAGCTCACAGAACTCAGGGAAACATGTTTACTGGTTTATTATAAAGGATATTACAAAGGATACAGATGAAAAGATGCATAGGGTGAGGTATGGGGGAAGGGGCATGGAGCTTCCGTGCCCTCCCTGGGCATGCTACCCTCCAGGAACCTCCATAAGTTCAGCTTATCTGGAATCTCTTCAAACCCCGTCCTCTTGGGTCTTTTATGGAGATTTATGTTCAGATTCTTTTTGGCCTCTCTATGCCACATTCCTTCCTCCAGGGTATGGAGCAGGACCCCTTCTGAAAGGACCCACAATCAAATTAGAGTCCTGCCTTGGGTAGGTGCAGGGAGGGCAGAAGAGGTCAGAGAGAGATTCTGTTTCCTGAGGCCTGCTTCTGAGGCTTCAAGCACCCTAACATTATAATAAGTGCTGTGGGAGTTATGAGCCTGGAACTGTGGACAAAAACCTTTATCTCTTTGTCTGCCTGTCTATCTACCTGTCTTTCTGTCTGTCTATCTATCTATCTGTCTATCTATCACAAGCACATAAGACTGTGCTGGGCAGATGGAATATTATAAAGATCAATTTCTCTCACAGAGTAGGATTAGCTCTAATTCATTCAAGATCCCAACAAAGGCATTTTAGGGAACTTGACACATTATAATGTTAATTTAGAATTATTAATTAAATAAGGTAGACATGAGAAAGATGATTTATTTGGCAATTATAAAATATTTGTCCCAGGAGATAATGTCACATTATATGAAGCTACAAGATGGTATCTATTATTAAAGCCTCATAATTAAATTAACAGTCATAACAAATAAAGAGATTGATGGGGACACTATAGCTTGAAAATAGTCCTTCATACATATGTTATAGAGGCATATATGATGAAATATTTTCATGTCAACTAGGAAGGTAAAGATTGCTCAATAAATGGCAGAGGGACAACTGAGTGGGTGTTTGAGTAAAATTTTGCTTCTTACTTCACAGTGTGTATCAGAATAAATTTTAGATTGATTAAAGATTAGATTGATTTGTAAATAGAGATGTAAAAAAATCGAACCATAAAAATCTGAATTGGAATTGAACATCTATCAATTCCAAGGGAAAATACTATTAAGCTGGAAAACAATAGAAGAAATCATGTGGGAATGACTGCTATTGCTGACTGTAAAAAATTTTAAACTTCTGAAGGTTAAAATAAACTCTTAAAAGATGACGTGCGGTGGCTCACGTCTGTAATTGTAGCACTCTGAGAGGCCAAGGCGGGAGGGTTGCTTGAGGTCAGGAGTTCGAGACCAGCCTGAGCAAGAGCAAGACCTCATCTCTATTAAAACTAGAAAAAATTAGGTGAGTGTGGTGGTGCATGCCTGTAGTCCCAGCTACTCAGGAGGCTGAGGCAGAAGGATTGCTTGAGCCCAGGAGTTTGAGGTTGCTGTGAGCTAGGCTGATGCCACGGCACTCTAGCCTGGGCAACAGAGCGAGACTCTGTCTCAAAAAAAAAAAAATGAAGAAAATGAAAAGACAATCTTGAAAGATAGTTTCAACAAATCAAATAAAAGGTTAATATTCTTACGAATCTAAAGTTAAGAACACTGTATCCATTAAATAATTACTAAATGTACATTAAGTTATTTCATAAAAGAAGAACAAATAAGGCCTTTTGAAAAAATATTCAGCATCACTAATTATGAGACAGTGAATACTTCATGTGCTGAAGCAAGCAGTCTCTCATGATTCATTAGCGAATGCCAACATATTAGATAACCAAGATGAAATGGACAAAGGCCTAGAAAGATACAAACTATAAAAACTGCCAAAATAAGGAATAGAAAGTTTGAATAGATCTATAACAAGCAAAGAAATTGAATTAATAATTAAAAAAAAAAAACAACTTCCCACATAGAGAAGCCCAGTCCCAAGTGGCTTCACTGGTGAATTCTATCAAATGTTTATAGAAGAATTATTACCAGTTATTCATAAAAAATAGAAAAGAAGGGAATATTTCCCAACTTATTCTATTAGTTCAATATTACCCTGATACCAAATTCAGACAAAGATGTCCAGAAGAAAAGAAAACTACAGACTAATATCTTAAATGCTTGGGACCACAAGTGTTACAGATTTCATATTTTTTTGGATTTTGGAATATTTATGGAATACATACCAGTTGAGCATCCTTAATTCAGAAGTCTGAAATCTGAAATGCTTCAATGAACATATCCTTTGAGCATCATGTCAAAGATTTCAGATTTTGGAACATTTGGATTTCAGATTTTTGGATTAGGGATGCTCAAGTGATATATAAAAAGGATTAAATAGCATGACCTGGTGGGATTAATCCCAGTAAATACAAACTTGCTGTAACTTTCAAATCAGTCAATGTAATACACCATATTAGTAGAAAGAATAAAAGACCAAAACCACACGATCATCTCAGTGGACGCAGGAAAAGGTATTTGACAAAATCCAACATCTTATCGTGAGAAAAATACTTAGTACAATAGGAATGGCAAGAATCTTCCTCAATCTGATAAAGGGCATCTATAAAAAAATCCTGAACTAACATCATACTTAATGGTGAAAGCTGAATGCTTTCTCACTGTAATTAGGAGGAACAAGATGAGGATATCTGCTCTTACCACCTCTGTTTAATACAATATTGTAGATTCTAGCCAGGGAAATTAAGCAAGAAAAGGAAATAAAAGGCATTCAGATTGGAAAAGAAGTAAAATTATTGTTGGCTCATTGTATCTGTGGGTTTCACATCTGTGGATGTAACCAACCACAGATTGAAAATATTTGGGGGAAAAAATTTGCATTTGTATTGAATATATATAGACTTTTTCTTGTTATTATTCCTTAAACAATACGGTATAACAACTGTTTACATAGCATTTGCATTGTATTAGGCATTAGACGTAATCTAGAGATTATTGAAAGTATACAGGAGGATGTGCCTAGGTTATATGCAAATACTACACCACTTTATATCAGGAACTTGAATATTTGCAGGTGTTGGTATCTGTGGGAGGTCCTAGAACCAATCTTTCATGAATACCAAGGGATGACTGTATTTCTATTTGCAGGTGACATGGTCTTATATATAAAAAAATCTTAATAAACTATTAGAACTAATAAGTGAGCTCAGGACAGTTGCAGAAGATCAATATACAAAAGTCAGTTGTATTTCTATATCCAGGAAATGGAACAATTCAAAAATGAAACTAAGAAAACAATTCCTAAAAATACTTAGGAATAAATTTAACAAAAGTGTAAAATTTCTATACTGAGAAATATAAAATATCATTGAAAGTAATTAAAGAAACACCAAAATAAATAGAATGTTTAGAAG